ACCACATACGCAAATCATGTTACTTCGTTCACGAGCTCATATGTGCCCAAATGAACAAACTTATGTCCCTGCGAGTCCGTCCATATTTTTGTGGAAGTGCGTGAAAAAGTGTGCTCCGTACATAGAGATCTGGCGGTACGCGTCCTTTATGCCAGTGCGTGGATATTTGGCGCAAATGCCTCCAAAAGGTGAGCTTGGGTAAGTGATAAGGACGGCACGTAGCTTCTGCCGGAGTCCCCGGACATTTTGCGCAAGTGCTATACAAATAGTGAACACAAGCCGCAAAGGGCAACACAGAATTTTGGTAAAATAATGCCCTTCGACATGATAAGGGACCTACATAAATGAGTCGCTAAAATTTGATCCAGCGTTTTGTGCACCTTCCCCATAATATCCACTTTGCCCAAAATGCGCTTCTTAGATGAATCTACAGATCTTAAGATGAAGATTTCCAGCCAGCCGGAAAGTACTTAGCAATCACATGGTTTTGATTTAGGCGGGAGGAATTTTTGACTGCTGCCGACCATTCTGCGCTGGGCGACCCTTTGAAATGCACGACTGATATCTTCCGATCGTTCGTTCAATCTTTCGGCCAAGGAAGCAAGCAAAGCTCACTTCCACGCTGCACAGCACAACACAACGAAATAGCACAGACAAACAACGAAGCAAACAACAGAGACAATGGCAGAAGAGGTCGACTTAGAAGCACTGAAACTGACACCAGGAGAGTTCCTTGCCATCGGGCTGGATATCACGAGGGGCAAGAATCATTGGGAGTATTTGAAGGCTAGTGCAAATGAAGATCGATTTCGAAAAGCTTTCGGAGCAGCTACAATTACTTGCTCAGAAATTTGGAATGATCTTGTGTTGCGTCAAGAGATAACAGGCAAGCTGAAGCCTCGGTATCTCCTTCTTGCTCTGCGATACCTCAGCACCAATGATACCCAAGATGATTTGATGATCCTCTTCAAGATTGGCAGCAAGCACACGATCAAAGATTGGACCAATCTATTCGTTCGCAAGATCCAGCTGCTACTGAAAGACAAAATTCTCAGTTGGGACGAGGTAGATGAAGGATATATTTTCTTCATGACAGCTGATGGAACACATTGTCGCATTGAAGAGCCCCGTCCTTTCTCAACTGAGTGGTCGAGCCACAAGTTTGGAGGCAAGGCGGCTTTGAATTATGAGTTGGGTTTGAGCATCCACAGACACAAGCTAATTTGGCTGTTTGGTCCGACTCCAGCAGGAAAGTTCAATGACCTTGAAGTCGCTCGTATGAAGCTCTTTCCGACAATGAGAGCGTACAATCAACAGCATTCGAAGGAGCCGGGTTTGAGGATCCTTGCCGATAATATCTTTCAAGTTAAGTCTGAAGAGGATATTGTTTCCACCGACAATGAGTTTGATCCCAAGGAGCTTGCGAGATTCAAAGAAAGAGCTAAGTCACGACAAGAGAAGTTCAATGACCTTCTGAAGAAGTGGAAGGTGCTGGACACGGTGTTCCGATATGAACAAGGCACCGACTTTCAAGACCAACACAAAGCTTGCTTCGAAGCAGTCACAACTGTTGTTTGCTACTCTCTTGACAACAAAACCAGCAACCTCTTCGAATCCGACTAGAGTGTCATTTGCTTTGCCTCTAGCAAGGTCGACAGCACCTTCAACACTTTGGTCAACAGTTTCGTCAACAGTCAACACTTTGGTCAACAGTTTCGTCAACAGTCAACACTTCATTCAACACCCATTCAACAGTTGTTGAACGGTTTCAACAATTTATTCAACACTTGTTGAAGCATTATTCAACACTTCCCGTCCTTATTCAACAGTGGGAACGAAAGATTTAACAAAAACCAGCCGGAAGTTAGTTTTCAACAATAAACCTAGTTCAACAGTGACGTCAGTATCGCTGAATTCAGCTTTTGCCACACTTTCCTGGGATCGTGAGTGAAAGCGTGAAAGCAAGGTGCGGCTGCACACTTTTCTTGAAGTTGTCGTGGCTGGCCACATTGTCCTACTAGTAGAGCTAGCCAGGAAGTCCTCAGCCAGCTAGCTAGAGGTCGGACCCATCATCACTTCGCAATTCAGCTCTCGCTGCTGCTTGCTAGCTAAAACAACTGAGAGAATTCTGATAGTGATCAGGCTAGCATTGGTAACTTTAGCTTAGTTCCACACTGGATGGATAGCTTCATTTGAAACAAGGGAAGATGGATTGTGCCGTAATAGTGTAAGTCACTCTGTGCTGTTTGCTCCATTGGCTCCAAAGCTGCAGCCACAACCACACAAAATGTCGGTACAGTCAAAGGACAAGCCATAGCTGCCTTCACACTGAAACAAGATATTGCTGGTGCAAGTTCCATTGGTTGGCAAAGTGCATCTGGTAGGCTTCCAGACAAAAGAGGGTTGTCTTGTAGTGTCAATGTGTGGAGGGATTGCTGCAGTGCTGAAAGCTCTTGAGGTACAATTCCAGACAAGGAATTGTTTGCCATTTCCAGCCAGCTGAGTGAATAAAGGAGACCAAACTCACTGGGAATCTGGCCTATAAATCTGTTGTTTTGGAACTGTAGATTTTGCAGGGAGAGTATGCTGGAGAGCTCTGTTGGCAGAGTCCCTGTAAGCTGATTGTTATGGAAAGTGAGTCCCATGGTAAGCGATGTCAGCTGTCCAAACTCGCTTGGGAGGGTCCCTGTCAACTGGTTGTTGTGGACGCTGACTGCAGTAGATGATGTCAATTCCCCTAGCTGGCTTGGTAGTGTTCCGGTTAGATTGTTTTCCAAGAGGGAAAGAACTGATAGATTCTGGTGAAGCAACCCAAGCTCTGTGGGGATCTGTGGTGCATAAATGTAGAAAGAAAAACATCGGTGCATAAGTGGGTGAATGTGCAATCTATGGTGTGTATTTGCTCGTACTCACAGTACCATTAATGCCATTTCGAGGAACGAAGAGCCACTCCAGAGAGTCCATTTGGCCCAGCTCAGAAGGAAGTGTCC